GTGCTCGAACCGTCATAAGATATCTCTCAACACTGTTCTCTATGTTTGGTATGCCAACTTTTATCCATACAGATCGTGGTTCGGGATTTATGAGTTCGGGGCTAAAGAATTTTTTACTACAGAAAGGGATTTCAACAAGTTACAATCCATCGTGTAACGGGCAAGTTGAACGTCTGAATGGGACATTATGGAAAGCCATTACCTTAGCACTCAAGACGAAAGGACTGCCTACTACAAGTTGGCAAGAAGTGCTGTTGGATGCACTACATTCCATAAGATCCCTACTGTGTAGAGAAACGAATGCGACTCCGCATGAACGCATGTTTGCTTATCAACGCAAATCGACCAGTGGAGTATCGGTGCCATCCTGGTTGACAACCCCTGGTCCAGTGTTATTGAAACGACACCTAAGAAATTCAAAGTATGACCCATTGGTTGATGAAGTTGATTTATTGGAAGCCAATCCGCAATATGCTCATGTGTGATTTCTCGATGGAAGGGAGGATACAGTGTCAATTAAACATCTAGATCCACCTGGTAATAGGTTCCGTACTGTTGGTTTTGAAGAAAACTATAGTAAAGAAGTCGACCCAAAGCAAGCCAGAGCGGAAACGCAGTCGCAAGACGCGGAAGGAGCCAAATCGGATAGGCCTATGGACGGTGCCACAAGGATCGATCATCAACCCGAACCTCTGCGTCGATCAGAGCGGCAAAGAAAGGCACCGGATAGACTAACATTCAGTTAGATTTGGAAATTTGAGTGTCTAAAGAACATAATAGACGCTATGACTATCTAACTTTATTTTACCAAATGTTATAAATTTAGTTATATTATTATGTAGGGGAGAATGTGCTAATTTATTAGGAACTATTTTATACTTATGAATATTAACAAGTTTAGTTACCAGGCCGTCGGCTGAACTCTGTATTTAAGGACGCCATATTGTTATTTTATTTAGTGTAGTGTAAAGCCTTCGGAATGAGGTTGTATTTACTTTATTAGTTTATTAAAATATATATATTTCATATCAGCGAGTTGTAGATAATAAATAGCAGTATGACAACGTGTCCACCCTACATGATCCATAATCTCTGAAAGGGTGGCTCCGGTTAGAGCCAACGTGATCGCACAACCCGATCGGAAACCGTGTAAAGTTTCCCCATCATCTGCATTCGTCTGTTTTAAGTAAACTTTCAAACGGGCTTCAGCCGCAGACGAGGTGAAGGGTGAATCCTGAATGCCCTTTTTAGAGGTTGTCGGTCGAAACAGGTAACCTTGAGTGAGATCAACGTTGATTTGTCTAACAATTTCGATGTATTTCTCGATAGCGCGGACCGGACAAATGACTGTGTGGGGGTTATGGCGAATACCAAAGACATTTTGGTCACCATCTCTCAGGGTTTTTCCCCAGACATGATTCAGTAGCAGTCCATCGTCATTTGGGACACGCAGGATTCCCGCAACTTTAATCTGACCCAGGTCCGCTGGGCGATCGCCACTAAAGAAGGTGGTCATAAAATAAGCGTAATCTCGTGCCAGGATAAAACGTTCAAGATTGGAAGTCGCTGCCGCCAGTGATGTTTGTAAATGGTCTGCCAGTTGTGTAAATTTGGTGACAAAAAACGGTGTGGCTTGTTTATGTGTGACGCGAGCCTGTAACTGTTCTGCAGTAACCAACTTAAGATAATGCTTGACTAACTGCGCAGCAGCTGGATTGCCAAGTCCCAGGCGCTTGTCCCATTCTCTGTCCTGTCCAATAGATTGAAAGATAGCGCGCATTTTTCCTATATAAGAGTATACTGGATTATACGCTAGGCGTACAGGACAACCACACGGATGCGTTCCTCGTTGCCCAAGGAAATTACAAATATGAAGGTGTATTTGCGTTTTACCAAAGCGATCTTTGTATGCTAGAGAGCGGCAGAGATCGCGAGGTGTGGCAGAGATTAAGGAAACATAAACTGGCAAGGAGTTGAGGAAGCTTTCTAGTTCTTTTTTGAGAGCGTCCTTCTGCTTACAGTAACTCGTCATTTTGCTGTAGTCAAATAACTGGGTAAGGCGAGCGTCTATAGCATGTAAATCGAAAATTATTTATTATCATTAAAAATTTTATTTACAGACACTAGCCCCGTCAGTTACCACTGATTTCCACGGAGGGCGTCTACTTAATTACATTATGAGCGTCTACTTAATTACACTATACAAATATAAACTATATATAATATGCAGAATTAAGTACTTGAATTTATGAGCCTCTTGAAACAATGAATCGATTGAGCAGACTTAGCTTCACGCGAAAGACTATTCCATAATACAGCTCCTCTATATTTAAAACTTCTTTTGAGAAACTCTTTCTTAGGTCTCGGGATTGATAGATCAGTATCGTAATGTCTCAGGTTATAACCATTTTCAATTACACTACGCTCAGAAAAGGATTCGCGAAGGCACGGAGCAGTACCGTTATTTAGGATATTATAAACGAGAACTGCTTTGTTAGTTTTATATTTAGTTTCGAGATTTTTCCATCTAAGCTGCTCCATGAGTTCAGAGGAGCTTGTATTGTAGTCTGCCCCCGTTAACACCCGAGCAGCCCTATTTTGAAATTTTTGCAACTTTTCTTTCAATAATAGACCGCAATTGTCCCAAAGAGGGGAACAATAGTCAAAGTAAGGTTGAATTAAAGCTTTGTAAATGGTGTGCATGGTTTCTTCAGGAACAAAGGGTTTAACTCGTCTCATTACACCTATTCCCGCGCCTACCTTTCTGCTTATTGCATTTATATGGGCTTCCCAATTAAGTTGTTCATCAATCTCGACGCCCAAACATTTAAAAGATCTATAACGGGTTACTGGTACATTTCCAAAGATCACTGACTTATTTCCTAGTTTATTTTGAATGTTATACGAAGAGCCTACAAACAAAGTTTAGTTTTGGTAGTATGATGTTGCAATTTATTATCACTAAGCCATTTACTGATATTTTTTAAATCAGAATTCAACATATCTACTAATTCATCAAAGTTATCCCACAACGCAAAGATTTGAGTGTCGTCTGCATATATTCCAGGGGTAGTAGATTTTAGGTACTCTGGTAAGTCATTAATATACAGCAGAAACAACAGGGGACCCAGAATGGAACCTTGGGGAACTCCACTTATTATTTCTTTGCGAGTCGATATATAGCCATTCACATAACACACCTGCTCTCGATTAGTCAAATAGGAAGCAAACCAAGCAAGTTCGGAGTGTTTTATTCCAAACTGGTTTTTCATTTTTATCAGTAGAATTTCATGATCAATTGAGTCAAAAGCTTTTCGAATATCTAAGGAAACTATACCAGTAATTTTACCCTCGTCCATATTTTCCAACCATTTATCACACATTTGAAGAAGTAGAGTTAATGTTGAGTGTTTTGGTCTAAAGCCAGATTGAAATTTTGAAATCAGTAAGTTCTCTGACAGATAGTCATATAATTGTCGAAAAATTTCTTTCTCAAATATTTTGCTAACAATTGGCAGAATGGAGATCGGACGGTAATTTTCACACTTTCTCCTATCTTCGGATTTATAGATTGGTTGGACTCGTGCTATTTTCCAATCATTGACAAATTTCCCAGTATATAATGATAGATTAAAAATGGCAGTCAGTGATGGAGCAATTTTATCCGCAGATAGTTTAAGTACTTTTGCTGGAATTTTATCGAGTCCCGTAGCTTTAGAAACTTTTAGAGATTTTAGATTATTTGCAATTTGATCAATACTTAGACCTGAGAAGCAAAATGTTGAACGGCAAGTAGAATCCTTAACATTTGTTTCGTAGGCAGCGTTACAATTTGTCACTTCAGCCGCTAGTGACGGGCCAATATTAACAAAATAGTTATTTAGTTGATTTGCAATTGAAACTCCGTCTGTAATAACACTGCCGCCGATATTGAGTTCATTGACTATTGTACATTTACTACCGTCTTTACCTAGAAGAGTATTAATTAATGACCAGCTTTTTTTAACATTTCTCTGCTGAGAGGATTCTGAAAGTTTATTATTAAAGTAGTTAGCTTTAGCTTTCCTTATTTCAGAATTCAGTTTGTTTCTGATGGTTTTATACTTTTCCCAATGCGCTTCAGAGCCAAATTTTTTAGCCAATTTCTGATGGAGGTCTCTTTCCCTCATAAGTTGCGTTATGGATGCATTTACCCATGGCATTGATTTAGTTTTAGTCCGCCTACTCTGAATTGGCGCATGCCTATCGAGTGTCTCTAGAAAGAATAATTTCCAAATTTGCCAGCTATCATTTGGGTCATTAAATTGGTTCACATAATCCCAGGGAACCGTATTTAAGTCTTCGAGAAACTGTCGTTCATTAAAATTTCTAAAATTTCGAAATTCCTTAAAGGCTTGTTTTTTCTTTGGAAACACCATTTTTTTGACAGCAAAAATTAGGTTATGATCGGAAATCCCCAAATTAATTACTCCATAGTTAGAAATACTCTCAGGATTGTTAGCTAGAACCAAGTCAATTAAGGTTGCAGTTGTTTTAGTCACCCTAGTTGGTTCTTCTATCAGTTGTTTCAGCTGATGTAACGTACATATATTTAATAATGTTTGCGTGTGATTATCATATGGGGATTTACTAACGTCACAATTAAAGTCCCCTAAAGCTATTAATTCTTTATTTTCCTTATCACATTTTTGAATAAAGCGTTCAAAGTCTTCAAACAAACTTATATTAGCATTCGGAGGTCTGTACCAAGAACAAACTAAGAATGGCTTGCTATATTGACGAAAAATTTCAATGCACACCATTTCAAGCGAATTTGGGACCAATTCTGTACGTTCAACACATGTAAAGCAGTTTCTAACATATAAAACGACACCCCCACCGTGTCTATTACGTTCCTTTCTGAATAAATCGTATCCAGGTATTTTAATTTCATGGTCTGAGACAAATTCATCGATTTTGGACTCATTGATGGCTAAGACATCAATCGGACATTTTTCCAATATTACTCGAAGCTCATCGATATGCTTCAAGAGGCTATTAACATTTAGGCTAGCTATTCGAAAACCTTTGAGATTAGCAATTTCGCTAAGAGCAGATTCAGAATTACAATTTACTATTGCCGGGTCATTCAACAAGTCATTTAGTTGATTATCGGAGGTTATTGCTGAAATGTCCGGGGAAATATCATGTCAATTAGGTATATTATTTGCAAATTCTCTTAAATTGTCCTGAAGAATTGAGCTGCCTACATTATTTAGATGAAGGCCTCTGAAGTTCAAATGGGAACTATTAAAACAGTTTAAAACACGATTAGAATTAGAGACGGGTGTTAATGACTTGCAAGAATATCCACATTTCTGGCAATAACGAAAGTCCCAGTCGTTAGCATGAGCACACACAGGACATTGGACTAACTGGATAAACAGTTAAGCAACAATCGGCAGTTTCTGTGAAACCGCGATAAGAGAACCATGTTGGCGTTGGACGACGTGACTGTTCTTTGCGGAGGGTTTTTTCCACTTTTGCAACAATGTCGAGTACTTTGTTATGGTCTTTGTCACCAAATAATCGACGGACTAGCATTTGAAATTGAGGTGTTGGCAGGTTAACCTTTTCTCTAGCTGTCTGGTATGCCACTCTATAATAATCTTTTTTCTCCTGTGCTTTATCCTTGGCCGTGCTTTGAAGGGAATCCAACATCTCCAACGCTTCATAGTTATTGAAATCTGAGTGGACGAGCTGTATACAGCAACATTCGTCTCCTTAAACTCTCCACAGAAGCCTGGGATACCTCATCTACTGACTGGCGTAATTGACGTAATTCTTCGCGTAAATGCTAAAGGAAAGAGGGAACACTGTCACTAAGATTATAACCATTAACACGTGCGCCGTGATGATAGGCGTATGTTCAGCCACTGGCGCTCTATGAAGATAATTCCATGCAAAGTATCTGTCGTAAAATAACTAACTTAATTACAACCAGAAGATTAGAGCATGAAAATCAATCTCGTACAATTTCAGCGTAACCATTACACTGCGACTCATGATATTAGTTATAATGCTAGATTTGAAAAAATCTTTAATTTCGGCTGATTGTATAGTGGGAAATATGCTACGTGTATTCAAAAAGTCCAAGCAATACGTTACAGAAAATAAAAAAGTTTGAAATATTAAATCTAACGCAACAATTTCTTTAATAACACTGTTATCAATTTTTTCCTGAGCCAAGATAATAGTTTGCTTTAGGAAATAGCAATTTTGCTAACCAAAAACGTTATTATCAATCATTATATGGTACATGCTTTAAAAATAACATAATTTAAACCCGAATATTTTCATGTAGTCAATCGACGATTTACAGTAAAACGTCAGATCACGTTTCAGCCAATTAAAGTGAGTTATTGACCAACGTGGGACCCATTGAGACGAATAATGTCAAAAAGTCTTTCATTCACGGAATCTGTCAGTTTTCCTATTAGAGATCTTGGCATGGAAGCTGATTCCTGTTGTATGGCTTTCCATAAGGCATCTTTGGAAGTATACTGTTTTCCATCAGCATAAACTCGTCGCTTGACGATAGACCAAATATTCTCTATGGGGTTAAGATCGGGTGAATTTGGAGGCCAAATCATCAGCGTTCGGTCCTTAAAACCCAAGGACTCTAAATATACGGTTGTTGCTTTAGCTGAATGGGAAGGGGCGTTGTCATGCATGTAAATTAACTTTCTCAACTGCGACAATGGGATCTCTTCCAGCCAGGGTTCAACAACGCTTTTTAAAAACTGGCAATAAGTTTGAGATGTTAGTTTAACCCCTTCTGGTACACGAATAAGACCACAAATTTCGTCCCCAATTATTCCAGCATATATCATTACACCTCCGCCTCCCTGCTGGCGTTTCATTATTGTTTGACCATAGGAAGCCCAGACAAATGAGTTGAAGTTAATAAAAATCCGTAAAACACTTGAGATATGTGTTAAAATTAATTAAAGTATGTAATATGCTACAAAACTACTGTTAGAACCATGTATGTAGCGTGCTCCAGTGGCGCTGCCATTTGACTATGCAACTAGTGACGTAAACTTACTATATTATTAGGAAGGATGGAAACTCTCGCCTCAATTTTCAACATGTTCACAAATTAAAACACAAATTACTATAGTAAAATGGCACGTCGACTGCTAAATGCCTACCCTAGGTTTAAGTTGAATAATCAAACTATACTTTCATCACAAAAATAATGCTGAATTCAAAAGAAAGCGCTGGAAAAACGTACACAAACTTTGTAAATTTGCCGAAATTTTCGTGAATTCATGCGGGATGTAAGTACCTACCCAAAATGGCGGCGGCAGAAAAATCTGATTGGTCGATCATTCTTTGTTTACCTTTCTCGACCAATCAGATTGGTTTATCATACTTTGTTTACCTTTCTCGACCAATCAGATTGGTTTATCATACTTTGTTTACCTTTCTCGACCAATCAGATTCTTCTGCCGCCGCCATTTTGGGTAGGTACTTACATCCCGCATGAATTCACGAAAATTTCGGCAAATTTACAAAGTTTGTGTACGTTTTTCCAGCGCTTTCTTTTGAATTCAGCATTATTTTTGTGATGAAAGTATAGTTTGATTATTCAACTTAAACCTAGGGTAGGCATTTAGCAGTCGACGTGCCATTTTACTATAGTAATTTGTGTTTTAATTTGTGAACATGTTGAAAATTGAGGCGAGAGTTTCCATCCTTCCTAATAATATAGTAAGTTACGTCACTAGTTGCATAGGCAAATGGAAGGGCCACTGGAGCACGCTACATACATGGTTCTAACAGTAGTTTTGTAGCATATTACATACTTTAATTAATTTTAACACATATCTCAAGTGTTTTACGGATTTTTATTAACTTCAACTCATTTGTCTGGGCTTCCTATGGTTTGACACTGTTCACCATGGATGACCCATCTTGCCTCGTCAGTGACCAATACACATTTCATGTCAGTCTTCATACAGTTTTTAGCCCAGTTCAACCGCAAATGTTTTTGTCTTTTCGTTAGTGGAGGCCTTTTTAGTGAACATTTGTTTTTGGTTATCTTTGCTTAAATTCTGTTTTGTGTACTTTTGGAGATGTCCGGCAGGCCAGCTTCTTTAAATATTCTATTACTCGTTGCTCCTGGAAGTTTTCGCAGTTTTCGCTTCAAACAACGTAAATCACGCTTTGAAACAGACTTCATCGATCCGCGATCAGTTCTTCTTTTCGTCTTCCTCAAAGGATCTTTTAAAAATCTCTTTACTGTTACGGCGTTACGTTTGATAATCCTTGCAATATCTTCAATGGTGGTTGATTTTGCCAGCTCTTTAATAATAATCTCTTTTTCTGGGTGAGTAAGGTCGTTGCTTCGTCCCATCGTCACAACAAAATGATCAAACTAATAAAGTGGACCACCCTTTATACAAAAAACCTGCCTAATTTTCGAATCACGTGACGTATGTAAATGTAAACATTGAAGCCATGTTTCCACTGGGATAATTCAATATTCCCAACTTCGTGCAGAGGAAAGAGCTTACTCGAGTAAATTTGTGAACATATTTGCATAATAACTAATATCGTGAGTCGCAGTGTATATTCAGAGCTCATTTCTGCGATACATTATCAACTGAAACGATAGTTAATTTCAACATACTTTACTACAGCGTAATTTCATTGTACAACAACTACGCCAACAGTTTGTTTGATTGTTGATGTATTTGTATGAACTGCATCACGTAAGCAGTGACAAGATCTATTATAATATGTATCTGCTTATATCCAAATTTAAGCTTGTTCATTTACAGTCTAACTTTAGCCACCACTGCACAGTGGAGGAAATTTATACAAACCAAACGAATCGATACCCCGCGAAATTGATCGTGTAAATGCTTTTTAGTGGACTGACAATCTACGCTGCGCCCCGACTATTGCAGTCAAGAAATTACAACCAAGCAAATCCCGCGAGACCCATCGCGTAAAGAGCTATAACAATAGCTTGTATTTTATTGTCGTGTTTTCATTTGCAATCTACCCTTGACCATGCAGTCAAGAAATTACAAACCAAGCAAATCCCGCGAAATCAATCACGTAAACAGCTAAAACAATAGCTTGTATTTTATTCCTGCTTGTTCCATTTGCAACCCACCCTTGACCATCACAGTCAAGAAATTACAAACCAAGCAAATCCTGCGAGATTCATCGCGTTAAAAGCTTTAACAATAGCTTGTGTTTTATTCCCGCCTGTTCCATTTGCAATCTATACCCTTGACGAGTAGTCAAGGAGCTGGCAACCAGCGAATGGAGGCGGTCACAAATATTAGTGTAATTTGTATAACAACACACACCTAAGTAAGGACTTAACACTGAACGTTAGGACATATATTGGGACTGAAGCTAATGAAAAACTCTATTTGATGTGTAAATTTCAAGACTGTAGCTCAAAGGGTCACAGATATTAGTGTAATTTGTATAACAACACACACATAAGTAGGTCCTCTCAAACATCTCAAGTGACATATAACAATATAAAAGAGTGTCGCGAAATCGATTATCGCAATCGACCTAAGGACCCGACAAGGACTATGATCGGTCAAATCTAGATATGTATATCACAGACAGTACGTTGATATAGAATGGACGACAAAGTAATAATGTCAACAAGCATCACACTGTTACCGTAAATTATAGAACTAATAAAGTTACGATAAATACGGAATTTGACGAGACAAGATTTAATACAAACCTCAATGTCTGGTCCATTACGATTGCCTTGTGCGGCGCTAGCTTCAACGGCGGCTGGTAGCTGTACAGGTTCATTAACTGGAGGCTGTGGGGCTGCTTGTTGATCACCAGCAATAGGGGTATTGAACTTCTGGTTCATCGGCCATAGTGCTATACTGTTAGAGCTTAGTAACAAAATTTTCGTGGGTCATAAACTCGTCTCGTCTCTCCGTCAAGCACTCCGCGTATAAACTGAGCATGAATGGCGTAATCTGTGTTACACACCCTTCTTTTACGTTCCGCATGTCTAACACACGTGGCTATTTCCTTCCAGTCACAAGCAGAGCATTGTTATGGTAAATTTTAACTTTATATTATTATACGTGTTGTGAATAGGATACGCACACAAAAGAGAAAATTAATATACACAAAATTTAGTACACGTGTAATAAAAACAAATTATATACACACAAGATATGATAACGCACAAAGTACAAAATACACACAAAATATATTACAACATTACAACACAAATAAAAATAGATCATTAAAATAGATCATTAAAATTGTATCCCACTGTTGAGGACACTGGTTGCTCAGATTAACAGTCTGTTAACAGCCACACATCTTCACATCAATATTTAATAATTTGTTTTGACTTCCAGACCATACTTTGACTACCCCTTGAATAACCCCAGACAATAGTTTAAATATCTTGAATATTTCAAGACCATAGTTTAACTACCCCATGAATAACTGCAGACCATAGTGTAACTAAACCGGCATAAATCCAGACCATAGTTTAACTAATCCCAGAATAAATCCAAACCATAGTTTAACTAATCCAAGAACAAATCCAGACCATATAGTTTAACTAACTCTTAATAATTCCGCACCATAGTTTAACTATCCCTTGAACAGTCTAGACCATAGTTTAACTAACCCCAGAATAAATCCAGACCCTAGTTTAAATATTCCCAGAATAAATCTAAACCATAGTTTAACTAATCCCGGAATAAATCCAGACCCCATAATTATTAACTACCTCTTGAATAATTCTAGACCATAGTTTAACTACCTCTTGAATAATTCTAGACCATAGTTTAACTAACCCCTGAATAAATCAACACCATAGTTTAGCTACCCCTTGAATAATTCCAGACCATAGTTTAACTACCCCTTGAAAAATTCCAGACCATAGTTTAACTACCCCTGAATAATTCCAGACCATAGTTTAACTACCCCTTGAATAATTTCAGACCATAGTTTAACTACCCTTTGAATAATTCCAGACCATAGTTTAACTACCCCTTGAATAATTCTAGACCATAGTTTAACTACTACTTGAATAATTCCAGAACATAGTTTAACTACTACTTGAATAATTCCAGAACATAGTTTAACTACCCCTTGAATAATTCCAGACCATAGTTTAACTACCCCTTGAATAATTCTAGACCATAGTTTAACTACTACTTGAATAATTCCAGAACATAGTTTAACTACTACTTGAATAATTCCAGAACATAGTTTAACTACCCCTTGAATAATTCCAGACCATAGTTTAACTACCCCTTGAATAATTCCAGACCATAGTTTAACTACCCCTTGAATAATTCTAGACCATAGTTTAACTACCCATGGACAGGACAAGACATGATAGTTATCAAGGTTCCTTAATAACTTCACGGTCAAAGATGTATTTAGAGCTCATGAACAGAAATATTTTTGCATCTCAAGCATTGCTTTATTTCCAACTTCAAGTTGAAACTAAAATGTCAGCAGGGTATTGCACAGACGATATTATTAATTTGTAACATTTTGTAACATAAAAACATCACTACCTTTGAAGTAACAATAAACAATACTATCATAATTCTGCCTTAAATAGAATGAAAACAAACAAATTGCCTTCATATCTATTGGTATAAACAGATATTTAAGAGAATAGCTGTTTTAAAATTATGTGTTATCTATGATATCGACATTTCCTCATTGCCAGAAATCGTGGACATTTTGCTCCCGCGTATTACGGTCAGCGGGTATCCACTGTAATTATTCAAATGCATGTAAAATGGCTGCTCGAAATAATAAAAAGAGAGTTCCATATAAAGTTTTGGCTAATATAAGCGCATTGGACCTCGAATTTTATGAAAGAAAGCCGAAAAGAAAGTATTTTTCAAAAACCTTTGGCATTTTTCAAACTGAACGATTGGTAACCTACCGTAGGTTCCCTGAGGTAAACTATACAGGTTATTGTCAGGTTATTGAATCCTCGCTAGAAATTGTCTATAATTTACGCCGTTTTGGAAGTACTTGAACTGTATATAGTCGTAAGTTTTAAAAACAATTTAAAAGCATCGAAATATGGAGTTTTCGAAACGAGTTAGAGCTAGCCCTCTCCATCAATGGTTTCTGGACAAATCAACACGAATTTAGCATGGTTTGCGCTATATTGTATGGAAAAGTATGGCTATTACTACATTACATATAGGCCAAAATAAATGCTGCTGTGGAAGTAAGTAGACCGACTTATTTTAAACAAATTTTGGGTTAGAAACAAAGTGATATCCATACTAAATAGGTATCGAGTTTGAGCTAAGGTTTTACTTCTTCGTAATTTTTGTAATTCAAATTTTTTTGCAGTCCTAATACATTTTAATAGACTTTTCGGCCGCCATTAATTACGTCATTCTTAATCATAGCAGCCATTTTGACGGCCCATATTTCTGGCAATGTGGGTCCACAAAACACAATGTGTCCTTCGTTCGCTGTAAATAAGTGTTAAATATTTTATTGGTATTAAGTGTACATGCTTAAAATTGCCCAGCAATGCTTTTTACCTTAGAATTTAAACTAAGCTTGCCTCAGCTATATTTCATTAAAATCAAGATTTAGGCTATAACTATAGGCTAATACTAAACTTCTCAACCGCAGAATATGCCTTTGTCTACTGTTATTCCCTTTGGTCTCAGTGACTATGATATGATTGGCTGCGTCTGTAAAATGAGTTCCTTAGGGGCTGTTTACATGACCCGGTTACCCGAGATTCAACGAAGCGTGAGATGATTTTGAGGTATTGAAATGAGCAGATAACATGATCCTGGCAATCGTATAATCACCGCAACAATAGCATGTGCTTGTTTGGTGTCATAAAGACTTATTTCAATACCTCAAAGTCTTCTCACGCTTCGTTGAATCTCGGGTAACCGGGCTCATGTAAACAGCCCCTTAAAAACTGAAGCTCGTATAATTAAATGTCGCAATTATAAAAGGTATTGTGCAGATTCCTTTAATGATGAACTAAAACTACTGCCGTGGGACGATGTTTACGCTACCGATGATGTTGATAGTGCGTGGGATGAATTTAAGAGAGTTTTTCTTCAGGTCTGTGATCGTCACACTCCATTAATAAGTAAAAAGCTGCGTGGCCGGTGTACCCCATGGTTAAATGGTAAGGTGTCTAAAGCCGGTTTTCCTCTAGCGATATTTTTCGCGCGAAGCAACATTTTACTTTTGTTTCAGAGCTCTCAACTGCAATCATCTGGAACGAATTACTCTAATACAAAGGAATAAATTCGCTTCGCGCGAAAAATATCGCTAGTGGAAAACCGGCTTGAAGGATAATACATACTCGAGACTATTATTTACGGAAAGCTATGCGCTCGGGATCAAATAATTATTGGTCGATCTATCGCAGATATCGAAATCAAGCAACAGGTTAGGTAAGAGGTTAAGAAAGCAAAATCTGTGTACAATCGTAATCTTATTCAGGATAATTTGGATAAACCACGTAATTTTTGGAAAAGTATTAAAAGAATCCTGCCAAGTACAAGCGCGTTATCGGCGGACTCAATTAGCCAAATAAATTCGGAGAGCCAAATATTGACGAATAAGACAAGTATAGCCAATGCCTTTTGCAAGTTCTTTTCGCTTGTAAAGATAAGAATAATGGAGGCTTCGATTACAACTCGTGCTTTGCATTCTCTGAGTTCTTTGTATGCTATTAAACGTTCTAGTCATGTTTTTGAGTTGAAAACAGTTCCAAACGATTACATCTATAAACAATTAAAGCAGTTAAAGATCTCTAAGGCAACAAGGGCTTGATGGTATACCAGCCAGATTGTTAAAGGATGCGGCTGTTTACATCAGTGCTCCCAAAACTCACATCATTAATTTATCTATAACAACGCAACGGCTATCCTGCCAGTGGAAACATGCTAAAGTGGTGCCATTGTACAAAGATAGGAAACGAGAAGATATGGATAACTGCTGCCCAATCTCAGTCCTGTCAGTCCTATCGACGTTACTAGAGAGAGCAGTGCAATATCAGTTGATTATTTATTTGGAAATGAATAATTTATTTCCTATCTGTCAACATGGTTTTCGTCGTCGCCACTCTACCCAGTCAGCTATAACGTTTTTCATGGACACCATACGAAAGAATATGGATAGGGGGTTATTAACAGGGGCAGTATTTGTGGACTATCGAAAAGCGTTTGACATTATAGATCACTGCAAATTGTTGGAAAAGTTGAAATCTTTTGGTATTGTTGATAGGGGACATGATTGGATGAGTGACTATCTCTCAGCACGTAGCTAGTCTGTTTATATTGATAGTGTACTATCGGATGCTCAGCCAGTGTTATCAGGTGTACCGCAGGGGTCAATCCTGGGACCGATCTTATTTTCGTTGTATATAACGGACTTACCTGATTGCTTTCAAACTGCCAGTACTTTGATGTATGCTGATGATACAGTTATTTATGTTGCTGCTTCTTCTATATCTCAATTGAGCGCATTATTGAATACTGAATTAGCTAATTTACTCAAATGAAAAGTCTCATTCTTGTGCAAATGAATTATATATCAATCCTAAGAAGACTGAATACGTTGCTTTTGGAACTTACCGTAGGTTAAGCGAAAGTGACTCCGATGATGACATGCGAGAAATTATGTTAGGTGAAAAGGCTCTGGAACGTAAATCATTCTTTAATTACCTGGGCATCTATTTGGATCATTCTTTTAACTTTCAAAAACATACTTCTAAATTATTCAAAAAGATCTCGAGTCAATTAGGGCTTCTCAAACGAATTCGAGGTAATCTCACAACTCATGGAGCAGAGATAATATACAGATCTATGATACTTCCAAAATTGGACTACTGTGATTTTGTATGGAATCAGCTGCCACCTTCTAGATATAACGGTTTGGAACATCTTTAAACAAGAGCTGTCAGAATAATTTTGACGAAAGATGATTGACATGAAGAACTGATACACCAGTGTTTGAGATTGCAAACTCGTTGCTTTATTCATCGGGTTGTTTTTGTTTTTAAATGCATGAATGTGATTGGACCAGATATTTTTAATCAATACTTTGTAAAATCTTCGCATGCATATAATACGAGAAGAAACAAAATGGATTACTTAGTAAGAACAGAAACAGCCAAGAAAGGTTGCTTTTATTTAGGAGTTAAGGATTTTAATAGTCTGCCACCAGATATTAAGAAAGTGACATCGTTAGTACTTTTTAAATCTGCATTAGAAGAAATGTTTTTGACGTTTTTTACCCATAGAACTGATATAGTTAGCTAGTATAGATTAACTTATTTATATTTATTGTTTTTTCATTTTATTTATATCTAAATGTCCAGGGCACCCATTGATAACAGCTTCTGCTGGCGGGTTTCACCCTGGTAAAAGATGGTATAATAATATCAACACTAATTACTGCCTACTGGTATTAATACTGTTCGCATAATTTAGTCAGAACGATACAGTCTCTCTAAACACTCGCAAGCACACAGGATTGCAACATTAAACTTATTTGGCTGTATATCCTCTTGAGTATATAAAAAAGGCTTCCCAACAAATATAATATATTCAACGTCGCAGTAAACACACCGTAACCAGCTATGAACTGACATATGACACCATGTGAAGGCGACTTTAACAGTGTTGGTCTACCGCAAGAGCAGTCAGGTTACATATTATCTCTCCCATATCAAATATCTTCGTATTTTGGTAAAATTTACCCATTTTAGTGCTTTATCGACACAAAAATAGAGGTAATAGATAGTGTTTGTGTATACCAAGGGGTGCAAACAGCTCGCAAAAACACATTAAGAAAGACGCCAGATTTAAAACTCACCGGTCTTTGATTCACAAATACTCCCAGCCACATATCAACAAAAACTCATTTGTCCTTAATAAACTTTAAAATTGAGCTTTTTTTAACTGTTTTGGATAAATCAAGCAAAATGCGCAAAAATAAATTACCCTCACTCATTATAGATTTGTATGGAAAATCACGCTGGCCGCGCGCTCGCCCCAATGTTTTTGAGAAAGAAATTTAGATCGAATTTTAAAATTTATCCTGCGAACAATCACAGAAAACACCACATTTCTGCATTAGTTTTTTCCGTTTATAACTATGCTAACCTGTACATTAACACGCAGTATTTGACTTCAGCTGTAATCTTTTTCCAGGACCCTATCCTGAGCAATATATGTTTTTGGCGAACGACACTGCAATCTTGGCTGTCGATTTAACGACGCTAGATTCAACATTCGTCGTAGATGGAAAAAGTTATATACGGACGCTGGACATTGACATGAAGAATAAGAAAATATATTTTGCGAAAGAAAATAAAGAAATTCGTCGGGCAAATTATGACGGAACTTATGAAGAAATCGTTGTGAAGGATGCTAAGACACGGGCATTAACAATTGATTGGATAGGACGTCGTATATTCTGGAGTGAGGGAGTAACAATTTATCGGATGGGACGTCGTATATTCTGGAGTGATCCTCGGAAGACTATCATTAACGTGGCGACTTTAGACAGTAAAGACAGCAGGACGCTGATTAAAACACGCGAGCCTTGGGATATAGCAATTGACCCCATCCAAGGGTGAGTGTTTCATAAATTGAGAAGTAATCGCAACCAGAGCTAATTACTGAGTTCAATGTAAGAAAAATATTATCAGCATAAAGTCAGATTTGTAAGAAAGATTTTTGCGACGTAAGTGACTACATTTTTCGGATTTTGATTTTTTCGATTTGTTTTGATTTTTGACCACAAATTCGTTCTTCTTGATTATTGTTCAGTTTTCATGACTTGTTAGATGCTTTTTCGCGTTGCGGAACTTGCATTAACGGGTAAAATAAATCCTTCATATCTGTTCTTCAGTGCATGCTGTGTAAATGATAATTTTGATTTACAGTTTGATTCAGCTCATAACTCTACCTGTCGAAGTGCTGAAAAAAAAACACTCAAAATGACCCATTGACAATCGTAGTTCTAACTCATACTTTTTGGGTTAAAATAACCACCCAAAAAGGGTTGTTTGGATGCATCTGAGACAACCATTTAAATTGGTAATTTTAAACCAAAATAATTGGTGAAAATGAATTTTCAGGTTTCAAACATTTATAAATATCAGTTAATACTACGAAATTTAAACAGGTTGTCCTAGAGTTGTCAACATCGACACGTGCCTCGTGCTACGTTCCCTAATTGGAATATAAATTAGAGGAGCCACAGCAGATCTTAAACTATAATTATTAACAACATACAGTAGCAATTTAAGATTCTAAGACATGGTCACATTATACAATGATTTATGAACAAGCTTGAGAAGATTTAACTCTCTTCTTTCATACACAGGCAACCATCTTGATTTAAGAACTTCATTTGCATTTACATATTTACCAAGTACAAAAGCTGTGCATGCATTCTGCAAAGATTGTAGACATTTTACCTGATCAATCACGCAAGGGGTGGCCGGAAACCATTATAACTCAAAGGCAGTTGCTTCTCATGTATGCAATTAATTAGTAATCATTTCAACATACCTATAACAATTTCCTACAAGATTACTGGACATAAAACAGGATTAGTAGAGGTTATTGATGTGTCTGCAAACATAATTGAAATTTATCTCCACTTGCAGAATATAATAGAGAAAGATAACACACCTTTTCCATTCTCAGTGACTCACTCTTTCATATCATTTACAATTATATGTCAGCTGTCAAGGATTCTTGAATCTTGATTACTAACTCTGCTTTTAACTAAAAGCAGTAAATCATGTTGTAATATATTTCTCATAAGTCACAAATAGTTCTGTTAATGGTGGGCCAACAAGGTTTTTTTAGCTCACTTGGGTATTTAAGGGTTAGAGACTGTTGTGAGTGTTTTGTTTACAAATAAACGCACGTGCTGGCCATACAATGAACGAGAAACTTCAATATTGCAATATTGAAATTTTGAGTTCATTGTATGGTCAGCAAGTGCGTTAATTTGTAAACAAAACACGAACATAAAGTCTCTAACACTTTTAATATACAATCTGAGTTCACTGATTGCTGCAATGATGATCCAAGGCAAGGGCTATATTTATGTAAGAAATTGAGATTAAAAAGACAAACAAAAAGGAAGGGAATTCAAACAGTTCAACAATTTATTATCAAATTATTTGACAAGCATAGTTTAACACAATAAAACATTTTAAATAAGCTAAGAATTAACAAAACAGAGTTTTACCAATGGGGGCCTCACCAGCGCCGCAGTTTTCGAAACTTGCACTTCCAAAGTCAACAAATTTGGGGGATGTTGTCTTGGCAAAGGTGTTTTTGTAACTTATTTCATTTTTGTTGTTGTATTTGTTTTGCTGCAATGGTTGGTGCTTTGAGCCAAGTGAAGCCACTGGATTGCCCAAAATTTCAGAGCATTCCTTTTGTTGTTGTATCTTTTGTCTTTCGCAGTACACCTTAACACTTCCCTCGTTTCTGTGCCGCGAAACTCGAATTATACGATGGACACGAATTCCAGCTTTATCCAGTAAAGTGACTGAAGTTGCCCTTATACAATGGTTTGTGTACACCTGGCTCAGTTTTGCTGCTGTTGATATTTCTTTCATCATATTTCCTAACGTGTTGACGCCAAGAGGCGCTCGATCAAACCAGATTTTTTCACTAGCAGAAAATGTTCTCTTTGGCCTCTGAAAAAGTGCTTTTTACCCTGGGTTAAGTACCTCAATCAACCTCTTTAAATATTGAACAGGACAATGGCTGTCACAAGTCGAAAACATTTTAGGATCCGCTTCGTCCGCCTTGTCACTAAGACCGCCAGGATGATTCTTAGTTTTCTCTTGCTCGGCTATTTCAACATACTCTAAATCATTGGCGTCTGTTTTGAAAACAAAACTGTTCTTTGTCAATTCCCTTTGGTTTTCTCCACCTCTTCTGCAGAAATATAAGTTTATGTTGAACCAGTTCACTCGCAATAATGATATAGGCGAATCGCTCCCAAAAACACCATTGTCATAACATTTTTGAAAGTCTTCGGGTTGAATACTTGAGTGATGTTTCACTTTGGACGACCCATCCTCCTTAATTTTCTTTAGCTTTGCGCTTAAAGACTTTTTTGCTGTTTTAAAAACAGGATCAGTTATGATTGAAAACGTCTTTCCAACTGTCTCTGAGGATAAATATCGGTTGATTCCTGCTCTCACAGCGACATGAGCTGAACGACTGTAGTCTTTCCCGTCGTTTTGTTTCAGTTCCTGATAAAACTTGGTTAGTCGTTCTGCCAGTTTCTCTTTGCTTAAACATTCCAAGTACTCAGTAGGATATCTTACTTGCAGCCATTCTTCAAATAAAAACAAAACAAAATAAGTTTTTCACGAACGTAAATGTGAATTGTCAAAATGTCCAGGGCAAACAAGAACCAATTATTGTGTTTTACAATTACCTTTGAAGATGGATACACTCCATTTTGTTTGCTTTTTGGTACTACCCGGTATCGAATCATGGATAATTTGCTTAATCTCTTCGTCGTTCACTTCGGAACCAGCTTCGTTCATGCAGGCTGCCATTTTTGAATAAAGTCAATAAACCACGATTTTCATGGGTTATTGCGAATAAATTAGGATTTCCATGATCTGTCGCCAGGCAACAAGAAACCACGTGATCGATTTTGACCAATCGCGTGCTTAAATTTAGGCCAGTGCACGAAGATTGTATATTAAAGTATATTTAAACATATGCATGGCATGCATCAGAATTTAAACATAGCATGCATTAGTATTTAATGTATGCATAGCATGCATTAGTATTTAATATAGCATGCATGTAGATTGTATAAGACGGTTCAAATGAAGTGCAGTATAATTTTAACAATCAGCTAATTAAGTGCTAAGGATTATACTCTTGTGAGACTATATGCTAGAAATTATTTAATTTAAACAGTCATTTTACATGCATTTGTTTTATAGTATGTATTGTCATAGTACAAGCAGAAACAAGCCTATGGTCTAACTAAACAGAAAAAAGTAATCTTCCTAGGCCATATCAATATAGAAAACCATTCATCATATACAGCATTTGCATGTCATTTAAAGAAATGAGAAGAACATTAAAGTTATTGGTATTTCAATACCGCTGAAAGAACTACAATAGCGCTGATTGAAAATCAATTGTGGTAGTGCGAAAGTTCAACAACAACGCCTTATTATATATTCCGTAAAGTGAAAATCAATAGACGAAACGCAGAACAATTGCGTTAAGTTATTGATCATTAACATTTTCGAAACAACAATAGCAATAGATCAAACGACATTTAGCGTAACTGAGAAATACTTATTTACACCAAGTTCTCTCATTTGCGTTCTATTATGTATACATAATTTACAAACAAAAGATAGTTATAAAGGTACAGATGAGAAGATGAGAAGAATTTGTTCACTTCAAAACGTTGAATTTCAAAAACAAATTTTGATAGCAGCTGCTGAAAGGAATGTGCACTGCTTAACCATTTGCGAAATGTACAGCATGGGGCAGATTTATGCATGCAGACCTACTTGAAAGAGAACACATCCCGGGAAAAAACTTGCACATACTGATATTGCTGTTGTGTGAACAGACAATTATGATAGAATGCGAATTCTAATATTTACTTTTTACACCTTTACATTAATGAATATTTCTCTATGCTAAATGTCGTTTGATTTATTGCTATTGTTGTTTCGAAAATGTTAATGATCAAAAAGTTAATGCAATTGTTCTTCGTTTCGTTCTATTGATTTTCACTTTACGGAATATATAATAAGGCCGTGTTGTTGAACTTCCGCACTTCCACAATTGATGTTAAATTAGCGTTATTGTAGTTCTTTTAGCGCTATTGAAATACCAAACATTTTAATGTTCTTCTCTTTTCTTTAAATGACATGCAAATGCTGTAATTGTAGCATCGACATAACTTTAAATTTTGCGATCAAATCGTCCAGATTTTTCTACTTTAAGAGAGCGCCGAGGTCTTTTAAACAAGTGATAATTCGAGTGTTTTATGAGGTAATTAATTGAAAATTAAACGAGATTTACCTCAAGTTGAAGTTTGATGATAATTCTACCAAACCATAGTTACGTACTTCCGGTTAACATGTGACTTTAACAATTGTGGACACAGCCTATAAAAGTGCAAAACTCGGAGAATCTATTGTAACACAGAATTTTGAATAGATTATCATCAATAATGGGTTTATAATAGAATTTCCGAAAAACAGAGACCAATGAACAACCTGCATGCTTCAGGACCATGTTTTTCACCTAAGAAACTAGTAATTTTGTAAATGTGGCATTCCTTAGTGTCAAAGTTCTACTCAAATAAGTCTCTGCAGCATGGTATAGACGCACAGTTCTTTTTGGTGATATTACCAGGTCGATTCTGTTTTAGATGACTGGTAAGATTAAATTCATAATAGTTTGTGTTTTCCTCATACTTTGAAAATCCTGAAAAGTCAAAGTCGGACATCGTTGACCCGACGTGAGGGTAAGTAACATGACAAGCTTTAAGAAAAGGTCTTTTATAAATAAATAAGAAGCAGGGAACATTCCTTTTAAATAATCGAA